GGCAGAAAGAAGTAGAGCCCACCACCCCCCCACCCCCCCCCACCAGCTAAATGAAATGAAGAATGATAGGGAAGGGCAAAAAAAGAGAAGAGAGGTGCCAAATTAAATGAAGTGAGATGATGAAAAGAAAAATGGGAATGTTGCTCTTAGCAAGAATCACCCCGGACTTGCAACTGTGTGGCTTCATGTCACTGGCGTCGGAAGTTCGTGGTAATCTAATGGAAATTCAGAAACGAGCTAGGTTATTTGGTGCTTTTGAAGTTGAACTAATAAAAATGAATTAATTTGCAATCAGCAAAATCCTGGCCTTTCAAATTTTTGTAAACGCGTGGCAGCATCCTGCACCCCCATTGAAAAATACTGGAGGAAGAATACTGGAGGGGATCTCAACCCGTCTGTTACATGTTCCCCATGTATGAAGGCATGGCGTGTGAGTTAGCTAATGATTAAGATATGTAGTTTCAGCTAAGTCACGTGTATTAGTATAGCATCAATTTAAGCACTTTAATTCGAATTAGTTAAGCTCCTTAGTTATTTTCTTAATTAGGAAAGTTGGATCAAGGCTAAATCATTCATCCAGTGACAGGTGTTTTATGTATTTCGAAATTAACAGTTCATATTTTGATCTGAAATTAATTGTCTACCATAAGATCTGCGATATCATCCAACATATAATCTTGTGCCATATCGTACGTGTTAAATCTAGAAAATACAGATCAGATTAGAAAGGGCCACCAAATTGTTGCTCCATATTTAATTTCTTCTCTTATGGTCAGGGGCGGATGCAGCTTGAAAGCACCGGATTTATTTGAATCAATACTTCCGGCATGACGTATAAATTTAAGTGCAAAAATCCGTTAAAACTGTTTTAAAAAAAAAAAAATATCCATCCGGTCCACTTTAATTGATGTTTTAGCTTTTGTCACACATATTGAGGAATTCACATTTTAGCATTAATTAATAATGAAATTAACAATATGACCTTAATTAGTTCATCGAAAATCTATCAAATTCTCCTAAGCTCTTTACTCTAAGGGCAACTTTTAAAAAAAGAAGTTAATTTCTTCTTAATATCTGAAAAAATAAATATTATGGACAAGAAATAAAAAAGCCAGAAAATCAATTAAAATGGACCGGAGGGAATAGCAGATATGAACTCAACATATAATGCATTTTAACCCGCCCCTGCTTGTTGTTCTAACTTTTGTGAAAGAGAACCAAAAAAGGAGCAAGTGATTTCTTTTTTTCTTAAATAAACTTATAAGAATACCAGATGGATTGTCTTTCAAGGCAAATTAGGCATTTTTCAAATCTCGAAGTTCTCAAAACTCTGAAGTTCCAAAGTTTCAAAAAAAGGGTCAAAGTAATAAAGTCAAAA